ATGATATGTCATATTCGAGTGATAATTACTCATGAGATCGTATAACTGACTTAAGCCTTAAATGATTAGACATAGCAGACAAGATCACTGGTTCAATGAATGGTTTTTCATGTTAGAAAAAACATGTTTATATACAATATATGGACACACAATGAACATGATAAAATCCCTTAGGCGATTGGAGGAAATTAGCTTGTAGGCAGCTTATTCTTTAATCAATCAGAACCTGATTATCAGAGATAATCTTTGAATATCGTATCACAATCAGATTTGAGATATTACATCCTATATTTTTGTGTAAAATCCATACTTGCATCTTAAGTAATGTTAGTTCATTTTTGATGGAGTTTTGTTCTCTGAGATGGATGGTTTGGTTGTGGAGCTTTCATCGTCCTCCTGAACGACATCATCAGCACAAACTTCGGGTAGAATTGAGGTGTTTGAATTTCTCCACATGTGGATCACAACATGTCCTGTGCACCTCGATGTTGATTGGTTCTTGTTGGCCTCAAATCTGTAATTGTTTATTTCTTTGTTTTGGTTCCATCTCCCATTGGTTTGATTTTTGTTCCTATGTTTCTGCATAATTTGCCTGATTGATTGATAAATTGGATTGATTTCAATGTGCTTGTTTATTGCTGATTGACCTGAGTTCCAAGCTTCTAAAATTTATCTGGTGTTTTTGGAATTGCCTCTATCCAAAATCTTCACATTTTCCAGTCGAATGTGTGTCCGCAGTTATCCACGTGTATTAATATAAGCGAAGACATGTCATGGCGTTTGACTGCTAATTGATGTTCATGCAGGCGAAGACGAAGAGGGCGTCCGCTTTGTCCGATGTAGTGTTTGTTGCAGTTGGCTGGTTGTAGTTGATGTTCGGACTGTCTTCTTTTGTCATTTCATTCTTTGGTTTGCATGAGATTGAATGAAGGGATTTTTTTGGTTTGTGAGCAACACCTATTCCAAAGGTTTTCAGCAGTCTTGTTGTCGTTTCCGATATACCTTTTATGTATGGTAAGGTGATCCTTTTGTTGATTACTGTGCTTGACTTCGTTTCTGATGATGGGTGCGGTTGGTATTTTTCGATGAAATTGATTGGATAGCCATTCTTTTGAAGGATGGTTTTCAGGTATTTTTCTTCATTTTTTTTTCGCATTGTAATTATGTTGCAGTGTGTCCTCACCCTCTTGGACAAAGTTTGTACACAGTTGATTTTGTGGGCTCTTGGGTCGTTGCTATTGTAGTTTAGAATTTGATCGGTGTGGATCAGCTTCCAATACACTTCTGTCTCCAGTTCATCTGTGTTAAAAACCCTAACCATAATTCAAAACCTTTAACTCTTACCTTATAAAATCTTTCTTTAATATTGTAAATAATTTACACGGAAAGATTCATTATTCATGTCAAAACTCTCTACTCTTTGTCATTTTATTACGATTTTATCAGAAATTACTTCAGAACTAAACACTTCCTGATTGGCTGAGAATCCGTTCAAGGTTGGTCGTATAGTTTACTTCCAATCAGTACGCGATATAAAGCTTTAGAGAATTGTCTGTTCAACCCATATTTACCACTAACATAAAACCGAAAACTTTAATGACTGTCAGATTATTAATGTAAAACATACTATGAATAATGTTTAAATTGCATACCAGATAAGTGCCTTATTTAAATTTATTACCAAACTCTAATATTACCCATTTGCGAAAAATTTTTGAATTTCGTTAATACTACAGTTGGATGTGTATTCTTATTTGTGAATGAGTTTCATCAGATTATCATAAATGAAACCATAATTATATAAGATTACCTCTACAATATCCAAATATTGTAAAACAGAAAAAAAGGAGAAAAAACTGATACTTGCAAATAGTTTTTAACATCTTATGAAAAATAAAATTTATTATAAGGACATATGCCAATAAGAATTTTTTTTATTTTCATCAACTTGAAATACAGCCAAAATAGTGCAGATAAACTAATTGAGTATGTTTTGTGCTAGAACTGTTTCAATTATCTTATATGATAAAAATACCCTGTGGGAGAGGACAAATCAGCTTCCATTTGAGAAGGAAATTAAGAAAAGATGTTGGAAGTATATAGGACATACATTGAGGAAATTATCAAACTGCATCATGAGGCAAGCCATAACTTGGAATCCTGATAGGAAACGGAAAAGAGGAAGGCCAAAATGCACACTGTGTTGGGAATTGGAGGCAGATATGAAAAGGGTGAATAGTAACTGAAAGAACTGGAAAGGATTGTTTAGTACAGGGTTGGATGGAGAGTACTTGTGGGTGGACTATGCTCCTCCACGAGGGGTAATAGGCGTAAGTAAGTAAGTGGTGGTATTTAATGTATATCCATTAAATAATGTATATATTCCAATCAAATAATATATAGAGAATTAAAATTAATGAATCTTAAATGAGGAACAACAACTAATAACAGTCATCTTGTTTAATTCGTTTTTGTATTGATTGTTTGATTCTCCCGATTGATGTATGGGACTACAATTGACCAGTCTGTTATGAGCATATATGCATCCTGTTTGAATCCCCTCAATATCGCTTTAATTCACAAGCATTATAAACAAAGATGAATACATTCAGTTGATGAGTCCCAAATAGGATGAAACTGACGTTCTAGGACACACATTGAGGAAATCATCAAACTACATCATGAGGCAAGCCATAACTTGAAATCCTGATGGGAAACGGAAAAGAGGAAGGCCAAAATAGACACTGTGTTAGGAATCGGAGGCAGATATGAAAAGGGTGAATAGCAACTGAAAGAACTGGAAAGGATTGTTTAGTACAGGGTTGGATGGAGAGTACTTGTGGGTGGACTATTATATTCCATGAGGTGTAACAGGCGTAAGTATGGCAAAGATGTAGCATATATCATACTAAAACTTTATGGTGACTCATTTATGTAGCGTTTTTGGCATATATGTATAATCTAGGTTTAAATTTTGTTTACTAATGTGAACTAAATAGTTGTTTGACTTATGATTAGGTTAGTATATACTGTAAAGTGATTTCCCTTCTACTTATATATTGTTCATAAATTTCATTTTTCACATCATTAACACCTTTGTCATAAATTCTCAGTATGAAGTAACTTAAACAACCGGTACTTTCAAAAAATAATACCATTCCCTATCGATTTATATTTATTTAGTTATTACGTTAAACTGATCTGTGTTTTGTGATTGATTTTGGAATTAATTATGTTATTGAGATCATTGAACATTATTTTGTTTTACTAATCTACTTCTATGATATCATCTTTTACAGTTAAAACAATTGAAAGAAATTTACATAAATTTGTAAGTGTATTTTAAAATTTGCACAAAGGTGAATATTTTCCGATTTGAATGATTCCAAAAAAAGGAAAAGAAAGCAGTTTTATTGCAACCGTTTAGCGCATTCGGCTGTTAACCGAAAGGTTGTGTTATATCCCCTGGTGAATTATGAATGGTAAATCTGAGGTCTATTTATGGACAAATGTAATATGTCTATTTCCTATTGTATAGTTGTTAAATAACTGACCAAATTGTATTCGTGTTCGTCTTATCGTAACCTTTATTTTGACCTTTGAACTATTATTATTGATTACTTTCCCCCTATCCACAGCCACATTGGCCAATTAAACTGCCTTGATTGGTTTAATAATTTCGTATATGCATATAAATATTACTGTATATTAGAGTAAAGCCTGATGAGGATCTAATCGAAAACAATATTGTTCGCTTATATATGTTGTTCTAAATCACAATATGGGAATTTTTCAAATATTGTACAAATGTTATTTTTCTATTTTTTGGTATATGGGGTCTGTTTGGTTAGTATATAAACCCAGTATGCTTGTGAATAATGATTCATATTACCGAGGCTGTTATTTGTGTTCTGGACTCAACTGGCTGGGTTAGGCAGATCGCAGGATCGGTTAGCACTCTAGTCTGCTCGTTCGGGTTTCGAGTCACTGCTCCAGTCAATAATTCGCTGCTCTCTAATTGGCGGTCTCATCACCTCACCCATCAACTAATAATCCACTCGGCCACAGATATAACAGGTTGGTGGTCCATGCCCACCCGAAGGCGGTAGCCACTTTACCCCGAAATGCCCTGGTACGGTCGAGTATGGGAAGGGTCCGTTCTCCCTCTCAAAATGCTCTCACATGTCCACGAGTATATAGCCTGTACCAGAGAAGTCCTACTCACTGCCTTCTCGTAACGGGAGTGTTGTTTACGAAATTGAGAGGATGAGAAGCGAATGTCCAGCGCTTTAACCGTGTTGATGGACACAGAAAGTCCACCTAGGGGAGTTGGAAAACCCTGATTCCAAACCAATGGTACACATGGGCTCCAGTATCCTGATGGAACAAATGGCGTATGAATCAATCGTTAGTCACTGGCTACCATGGGACTGCATCTCCTCACAATGTTCTACTGCCTTGTAGATCAGGCCTCTAGATCAAAGGCTCCGGTGTGTTCCTTTAAGAAAACCACCAGCTTCGGTTTGGACACCCGCACAATATCACAGCTCTCATACAAATCGAATGAGATTTGTGCGGCGCATGTATATCTGGTGCCTCCTTGTACCAATATTTAAGTGCTTAAATAAAAATCAAATTAATTTAATACAGAAATTTTGCTATTAATAATTATGAGTCATACTTTCAATAATTTAATGTAGCTTCATTCTTAATAAAAATTGAATTAAGTTTTTTCTAAAGAATGAACTTATGTTTTCAGAGTAATAATTAAATATTAATTTTTTCTTTTTTTTAAAAAACAACAACAGAAAAGTCACCCTAACAACTATTGTGTATCCATTCTGAATGTGTGCTGATTTGTTTTGTTTTTCTAGTACATATTCTAAATGAGTACTTAAAGTATCTTTTTTTGTTTGAAAATTACTATTATTGTTTTCACTGATTAAACTAGTTTTCTTCTTCAAATTTATTTATTAAATACAGGAGAACAAATATATTTAATGTATTCATTGACTTACATTACTACTACTACTACTACTACTACTACTACTACTACTACTACTACTACTACTACTACTACTACTACTACTACTACTACTACTACTACTACTACTACTACTACTACTACTACTACTACTACTACTACTACTACTACTACTACTACTACTACTACTACTACTACTATAAGCAGAGATGAATAATGGCTAACAGTAAAATCTAGAACGTCAGTTTCATCCTACTTGGGACTCATCAACTGAATGTATGTTTGTGAATTAAGGCGATATTGAGGGGATTCAAACAGGATGCATATATGCTCATAACAGACTGGTCAATTGTAGTCCCAAACATCAATGGGGAGATTCAAACATTCAATAAAAAAACGAATTAAACAAGATGACTGTTATTAGTTGTTGTTCCTCATTTAAGATTCATTAATTTTAATTCTCTATATATTATTTGATTGGAATATATACATTATTTAATGGATATACATTAAATACCACCACTTACTTACTTACGCCTATTACCCCTCGTGGAGGAGCATAGGCCACCCACCACCACTCTCCATCCAACCCTGTACTAAACAATCCTTTCCAGTTCTTTCAGTTACTATTCACCCTTTCCATATCTGCCTCCAATTCCCAACACAGTGTGTATTTTGGCCTTCCTCTTTTCCGTTTCCTATCAGGATTCCAAGTTATGGCTTGCCTCATGATGCAGTTTGATAATTTCCTCAATGTATGTCCTATATACTTCCAACATCTTTTCTTAATTTCCTTCTCAAATGGAAGCTGATTTGTCCTCTCCCACAGGGTATTTTTATCATATAAGATAATTGAAACAGTTCTAGCACAAAACATACTCAATTAGTTTATCTACAGCTGTATCATTGTTTCTGGCAATATGCAGCCAAAAGAATGTACATTATTTAAATGTCTATTGACTTCAATGTTAACTTCTAACTGGCGATCACTCAATATTTATTTTCAGAATCGATCAAGATGTCAGAAAATGGAAACCTGTTGAAACACTTTGTGCTGAGAATTCTTCATTGTACCAAAAATATAATATTGAATGATGTTAATTATACAAAATAAAAACTCTGTCTTAAGTGACATAGATCTAGATGGCAATTTTCAGATTTTGTACTTTGAGTTCATCTGTATTTATAAGAAATAATTAAAGTAGCAAGGAAAAAGGAATGAAAGGTTAAGTACAAAACATTAATACAGTTTAAATATCAAACCATGTGAAGTATCCTTTTTTCATAATTGACTTGAGAATATTCATTTACATGAAAAAGGTTGACACCGTGAAGAATAGTAATATTGGTAATCAAATCATCTCAAAACAAAAATGATATACCGCTTTCAATACCAATGACAGATATTTTAATAGATAACGACTTGTATATATGTATGATTAAAGTAATTGATTAATGAGTTTTTTTTATTCAAAATAGCATTTAACTCTTCAAGTTTGACAATGATGTTGACACTAAGCAACAGAATTTATGTGTTGAATAATATTTTTCTATTCAGTAAACCGAACTGAAATCACTGAAGGCGGACAGTGGCTAGCACTGGAATCCAGGACGCGCGTTTCGTCCTATTTGGGACTCGTCAGCTTGATGTACCTGCATCTCAGATTTATGTTCATTGTGAGACTCCAACCCAGTATTTTTGACTTCAATTGATCAACTTCAGTCTTAAACATCGATGGGAAGATTAAAACAAACAATATCAAGTGAATTTGAACTGAAACGAGTTTCTTACAACTTTATCTGTTTGCTATTAAGCAAGTAGTGTTGTTTTAGATAACAAATATCTATTCAACTAATTCTAAACATGAAACAAGTTTCACTAGCTTCAAATTTTATAAAGAAAAAAACACACAACCTTTTACAGTTTCTCGTATTATCGTTAAGTTCCTACACTACATGTGGAGTATAGTGGGTTAGAAACAATGTTTAAAAAAATGCTGCTTCATTAAAATATTAGTATTTTCAACTCTCAATTTTTATATTTAAAACATTTTTCGGGAAAATATAAAAGTTCGATAACGATTGAAATCCAGAAAAAATAGAATAGGTCACGAAACTTGGAAGGGCCCTCTGTGTTCGTGAATCCACATTACTGGGGAGTCTGATTCTTGGAGGAAATAGTTGTTTAGTGCTTTCTAGCTTTCAATGGTTGTCTAACGTCGATCAATTCGTGAGCTAAGTAACCATGACCGTAAATAAATTATACTAATGAAGCATTCGATTCTTTTTAAAAGCGTGGAAGAACAAGTATGTCGAAGTCGAGGGGTAATAGCTAACATAAATTAATATAATCACCAATGAGAGATAGAAATAAAAGTATGCCCAGATTTAAGTCAAGACACAACGTCTAGAATTATAGCATGTGAATTTAGGATTGTTTGTAATATACAATAAATTAAAATCTTTATTGTTCGGTTGACCAATGCACTGTTGACATGAATCAATTTCTACGTTAAATGAAATTGTGAGATAAATGATCAAAATAAATAGGGTTATCATGGAATGAGAGAGACAATCATGTAATTACAAGTCAGAAATCACGTCATATATTTTGAATAATATGAATTAAGTTACTTACTTACTTACGCCTGTTACTCTCAATGGAGAATAGGCCCCCGACCAGCATTCTCCAACTCACTCTGTCCTGGGCCTTCCTTTCTAGTTCTATCCAGTTTTTGTTCATTCTTCTCATGTCTGTCTCCATTTCTCGGCATAATGTGTTCTTTGGGCTTACTGTTTTTCTTTGGCCTTCAGGATCTCAAGTATGGGCTTATCTTGTGACGCAGTTGGGTGCTTTCCTCAATGTGTGTCTTATCCATTTCCAGCGCTTCTTCTTGATTTCTTCCGCTGAAATCTGTTTTGTTCTCTCCCACAGTAGGATGTTGCTAATAGTGTCTGGCCAACGATCTAAAAGATTTTGCGTAATTAATTGTTAACACTTGTATCTTCTGGATGATGGCTTTCGTAGTTCCCCAAGTTTCTGCCCCTTACAGTAGATTTGTTCAGACACTTGTATTGAAAATTGTGATTTTGGTGTTGGTTGACAATTGTTTTGAGTTCCAGATGTTCTTCAATTTTAGATATACTGCTCTTGCTTTGCCGATCCGCGCCTTCACATCTGCATCAGATTCACTGTGTTCATCAATGATGCACCCCAGATATGTGAAGGTTTTACATCTTTCAAAGCTTCTACATCACATGTAATTCGATTGGTGAATGTTGTATTGTATCAGAGAATCTTGCCTTTCCCTTTGCTTAGGTACGAATTAGTAAATAGGTGTGGATGATGAATAAAATTGTCAACGGGTTTTTCAATAGTAATACTGATAACAACAGTGATAATAATCGTAATGATAAGATGTATGAAGATAAGTTTCAGCAATGAAAATACAAAGAAGGTGGTTGCATGAACATTAATCAAATTGTCACCATATCATAAAATTGATTACTAACTAATAAGGCCAGAAGTTGGCGAAGGTAAAGTGAGCGATTGGATATATTTCTTCTGGACCCGAAGCTCCGGTTTTTTAATCCGAATAGCTATTGCTTCGATAGTTTGAAGGATTCTCAGTCTGACGGATTTAGCCAGATTGTTATTAACACGATATATTATTGTGAATGATTGCTCCATATTGACTGTATGACCCGTTTGTACTAAATGAGTTAAATTAAGCTAGTAACATCTTTAATTATACTTTTGCTTGACCACTTTTGGATGTGCTCGAGGGCCCCAAAATACAAACTCCTATAATAACTGCCAATATGACTTGCTCCACAAGGTTAGTTGAATTGATAAACAAAGTGACTAGTCTGAATAATTTATCTTTCAATTTTGGAGTGATCATCAGATGTGTAGAAAACAATAAATGTTGTTTATCTACATTAAAATTACTCTGTGCAACTTTATTATTGGTATTTCGCTGGGTTACTTACTTACTTACACCTGTTATCCCTCGTCGAGGAGCATAGGTCGCTCATTTCGCTGGGTGCATGGCCCCTAAATTGTAAGCGCATATACAGAGGCTTTTATCTCACAGTTAGGCCTTCTTTGTACTCTTTTTTTGGCTAAACGCTCATTTACAAATTTCTACGGATATCCATTTTCCTTTAGGGTAGCATGCAATGCCTGTGTTTACTCTTTAACCGCATATAGGGAGCATATGGTCGTGATTCTATGAGGAAGCTGCGTAATAATCAGGGGAATAAAGAAGAATAGAAGGATGAACGCAACCTCATTTGATGTTTGGAGTCTCGAATCACTATTCGATACAGTCTTTTCTATCCTTCTATAGACATGATTACCAAACGACTATCAATACAAATGTACAGATTAAGTCAAGGATTTCGTCATAAAGAAAATTTTCTTTGATGAATTATTTATTTTTATTTATTGACACAATGGGTTATTTTGATTAATGGTTTTATTTAATTATATATTATAAACAATCCTAAATTCATATGCTATAACTTTAGATGTATATCTTCACTAAACATGTCCACTTTTTGTATTATTAATGTAGATATATAATTGTCGAACCTGAAGAGAATATTCTTCGTTCATATATCCGCATTTCAATAAGAAACACTACTCTATTGATAACTATGCAGTTACTTACTTACTTACTTACGCCTGTTACTCCTCGTGGAGGAGCATAGGCCATCCACCAGCATTCTCCATCAAACTCTGTCCTGAGCAATCCTTTCCAGTTGTTATTCATTCTTTTCATATCTGCTTCTATTTCCCGGCGTAGTGTGTTCATCGGCCTTCCTCTTTTCAGTCCCCCTTCAGGATTCCAAGTTAGGAATTCCCTCGTAATGCACATTAGTGATTTCCTCAGTGTATGTCCGATTCACTTCCAACGTCCTTTCCTAATTTTCTCATCAGCTGAAAGCTGGTTCGTCCTCTCCCATAAAACGTTGTTGCTGATAGTATCCGGTCAGCGAATGTTGAGTATTTTGCGTAGATAATTGTTTATAAATACTTGTACTTTTTTGACGATGGTTGTAGTAGTTCTCCACGTTTCATCTCCGTACAGTGGGACTGTCTTCACGTTCGTATTAAAGGTTGAGAATTCGATGTTGGTTGAAAGTTGTTTTTATTTCCATATGTTCTACGATTATAGAAATGCGGTACTTGCTTTGCATATCCTCGCCTTTACGTTTACATCAGATCCTCCTTGTTCATCGATGACGCTACCCAGGTACGTGAGTGTTTCCACCACTTCCAGAGTTTCGCCATCAAGTGTGATTGGGTTGTTGTTCTCTGTGTTGTATTTGAGGATCTTACTTTTTCCTTTGTGTATGTTGAGACCTATTGATGCAGAGACTGCTGCTACATTTGCTATCTTCGTCTGTATTTGTTCGTGTGTACGAGATAGGAAGGCTAGGTCATCTGCGAAGTCCATATCATCTAATTGATTCTGAGATGACCATTGTATTCCGCGCTTCCCCTCAGATGTCGAAGTCCTCATAATCAAGTCAATCACCAGAAGAAAGAGGATGGGGGAGAGTAGACAGCCTTGTATGACTCCGGTCCATACTGTCAGCTGTCCTCCATGCACGACTTTGCGCTGTAGTCCATCGTATGAGTTCTGGATAATATTGACAATCATCTCAGGAACTCCATACTGTCGAAGAAGATAACTATACAGTAGCAGAATATATAGCAACTCAGATACAATAGAGTTTGTTTACATCTAATTCAGCTAAGCCCTTTTGTTAACTTATTTAATGGACAGTCATTCATACAATAACAACCCATCTATACCATTGTACTTTTATTATATACGCTTGAACATTGCTTACTGCCTACGCATATATATATATATATATGTACATCTTAATCGTGTTAACTACTTGCCCTGCTTGCTCTCTGTTCTGCACTACGCTACACCATACTGTACATGCTTACTCATTCATTCGGCTCTACGGCACTGCTCTTTCATACTTGCTTGACGTACCTGTAATATTGGATAACTGTGTGTGGTTCAGTTATAAACGCGATCAACCCTTCTTATTCGTCTTCTGATTTATGCATTGTTAGGACGTTGTCGAGTAACGGTTATCAAGACGAACAATATACGAAGCCTAGGGATAATATCGAAAATCGACCATCACAAGTAATTTATTTTTGTAAGTTTTAGCGTTTTAAAATACTTTGTTCATAGCTAATTACACAACAACCTAAATTGTTCATGAACATTTCATAATTATTCAACCATTCAGAGGTTGATGGATTGAAGAAAAAACTAAATAAATTACATATCATCATGAATTCCATTCTCTATTGTCATTGAATGAGATAAGATGCTTATGTATCTACTTGTCAATTGAGTAATAGGTATCACTGTTTCAAACTGACATGTTTGTATAACTGGATATTCTTGCGAGAAAAACAACAACTCGTATTTTCTATTCTAATATACACTTAGAGATTGATACTAATCTCAAAGTGAATCCCCTACGAGGATACGGTGATTAACATGCTAGATAAACGATAAACTAATCAAAAGCTTAGTTAAAATTCATCTATATGAAATTGTAGTCAACGTTTCCACAGGTATGTATGTAATATTAAATTAATTTTGGTGCAAGAAAAAAATCTTTTAAAAAATGTATCTCCTATGGATGTAGATATACAAAAATTTACATTAAAAGAAAAATCGTTTCTTTATGTTATTTATATAAAGTTTGTAAATTTTTATAAAAATTATCAAGAATGTATTAACAAACTATACCGATATATGATTTAAATTAAATTGATCTTATCTCATATACGAGTCATTTTATAGCAATATTGATGTTATATCCCGTGGAGATTTATAAATGGTAACTTCTGAGGCATACTTATGGACCAATATGGTATGTATATTTCCTATTGTATAATTTTTAAGTTACTAAACTATCCATATTCGTGTCCTTCTTATTATAGGCTTTATTTTGATCTATAGACTATTATTATACGATTTACCATTCTTGAGTTATTCTTAGTCCATTAATTACTATTCCCCCTATTCACAGATGCAGTCGCATGGTAGCCGGTGACCAACGATTGATTCATACGCCTTTGTTACCTCAGAATACTGGAGCCCATGTAAACCATTGGTTTGGAATCAGGGTTTTCCAACTCCCCTAGATGTATCCTCCTTGTCCGCTGACCCGATTAAAGCACCGAACATTCGCTTTTTGTGTTGTCAATTTCGTAGACAACACCGTCGCAATTCGGCAGTGAGTAGGATTTCCCTGTCAGAGGCTATATATTCGCTGGCCATGTGAGAGCATTTCGAGAGGGAGAGCGTACTCTCCTCACTCTCGACCGTACCAAGGCATTCGGAGGCACATTATTTTATTGCAAATTAGACATTAGTTTATAAATTCAATAAAACAACTATTCAATCTTTTATTCTGCATAATTATTTTGTATAAAAAAGAATGATCAAATAATTGCATATTCGTACAAAAGAAAAAGGGGAACAAAATAGAAACAACTAATCAAAATACTGAGGTAAAATAATAATAATAGTAAATTAATAAGTTAATACAATTAGCAACCGCAATAATAATGAAAATGATGTTTTATAAAAGGTAACTGTTAATTTACAAAAATAATCAATAATACAGAAAATGGTAAAACAGAAAAGTACAACTAAAAAATAAAAGACAAAAATATATTCTCATTGTAAAAAAAATCAGCAATATCGAACTGTAGATATGTATCGAAGAACTTTCGTACATGGTTCGTCGTTTCATTGTACATTGAAGAGGTCAACAAACTGTTGATATGTATTGTTTTTAGTGTATACAACAATGTTACCGATCAATTCAGTTCTCAGTAGTTTATTCATGACATATTATACAGTAAACGCAGAAGAAAAAAGAGAAAAAAGAAGAAATGCCAGATTTGAAAGTAATACAACAACCATACAATCAGTGTTTTACTCCAGATCTAACCAATATCTTGGTACCCAAGTTGGTTCACGTTCAAGTTTAATAGCTAAACGCATTAATTCTGTAACAGTTGTATCTAATGTTTCAGGAATAATTACTCTATCAAACCAATGACCAAAACGTAATTCCATTTTACGACTTGTTTCAATACATGCTTTCAATTCATCATTCTATGAAAAAAATAAAAATATGAAATAGGATATTGCTCATGTAAAATAACATAAGAACAATAAATAAATCCGAGTTTTCTAAAAGTTTACTACAAAGAACAGTTACAGTATATAAACTACTTTTTTAAACAATCAGTTCCTTGTCATTGTTGGTGTTGACTAATCACCTTCATTAGTAAAACTTATTTGTTTTATTATTCAAAAAAAATATTGTACAGTGCCAAAATAATAAAAATAAAAAAAATATTTTTGTGAAACAATCAAAAAAATTAGTAATCTGGTATGTGTTGATATGAAATTGTGAAAAACAACAAATTTTAATCTGTTTAGAAGAAAATGAAATTTTTGGCAACAAAATATGGGTTTATTGTATTCTTGAAAATGTAATCTGCATCTTAGTATTGTTTGTTTGAATCTTACCATTGATGTTTAGAACTGCAACTGGTCAGTCTCTTATTGGCGTATATGCATACTGTGCGTATCGCATGGATATTGTCCTAATGCACAAGCATTATAGGCAAAGATGGATAGTGGAATCCAGAACGCGCATTTCGTCCTATTCGGGACTCGTCAGCTGATGTTCACTCTGGACTCGAACCCAGTACCTTTCGCCTCAAACTTGTCTTCTTTCCTATTATTCTTTCTGACTAATCTAATACTTCAAAAATATCTGCTTAATCTGTTCAATAATGACAAATAGCTTTTTAAACAAGGTGTCATTTCAGCTTAAGTGTTTCCAGCTAAAAGCATTTATCTAACTGATGAACTATTAGCTTTTAGTATAATAAGAGGAGATAGTTTATTTTATATGAGAAAGGCCCTCGAGTGAACTCAAAGAAGCTCTGAAAAAGCTGAAGACATTTCATCCAACTATTTTTGAGAAGGAAATTCCACAATCTTGACGTGTAGATTCCTGACTAGACAAATGTTGAGAACCACTGCATGAGTATTGGATGATCGTAATGCTGATTTCATTTTTACTAAAAACTATAAATACCTGAGTGTTCTGTACTATATTTGACATTGTTTGAAATAAGGTTTCTTTCCACTTGTCTTCTCTCTTCTAATTTACGACTTGGAGGGTTCTAGTGTTCAAGTGTTCACGTTGTACACAGTATAGCAAGAATCTAAGCTCTAGATATAAGATGATAGTTACTTCAACTCTGTTTTACATCATCAAATACATATTCAACAATTTGCAAATATTTACGTTTAGAGTAACACGAGATAATTAATGCATTATGATGTATTCAAAAGTTCAATCAATCAGTTTACATATAATAAACAGTTGAAAAAAAGTCATAAACACATACGCACATATAAAAGAAAATTATTTATAATCAACAAACAAATCATATACACTATAATATACTACTTAATTAGTTGATGAATTGATAAAATTTTTTATAAACTTACAGAACAATTACCAGTTAGATTTAAATTTTTACGTAAACGTTGTAAATCATCTACTCGTTCTGGTGGTGAAATAAATATGACATATGGATCCAGACCACTTGACCGTATTTTACGTAAAGACTAAAAATATAATAATAATAATAAATTTTTTAATCATAAAATTTGATTATTCATAACTTGACATTATTTATTTTTATTTATTTATTTAAACACATAAATATTGGTACAAGGAAGCACCAGATACATATGCGCCGCACAAATCTCATTCGATTTGCTTGAGGGCTGTGATACTGCCCAGGTGCCCGAACCGAAGCTGGTGGTTTTCTTAAAGGATCACACCTGGAGCCTTTGATCTAGAGGCCTGATCTACATGGCATTAGAGCATCGTGAGGAGATGCAGTCCCATGGTAGCCAGTGACCAACAGCAGGTTCATTCGCCATTCGTTCCATCAGGATACTGGAGCCCATGTGCACCATTGGTTTGGAATCAGGGTTTTCAAACTCACCTAGGTGGACTCGCCATGTCCACCAACCCGGTTATAGCGCCGGACATTCGCTTTTCGTCCTCTCAATTGTGGTAAACAACACCCCCGCCACGAGAAGGCAGTGAGTAGGACTTCCCTGTCAGAGGCTATATATTCGCTGGCCATGTGAGAGCATTTCGAGAGGGAGAGCGGACTCTCCCCACTTTTGGCCGTACCAGGGCATTTGGGGGCCATAACTTGACAACTAATTATTTAATTAAATTTTAATAAGCATATGATACTTTTATACTTAAATCTAATTGAAGACTGACTTTTGTTGTAATTCATCGCAAGTATACATTCATTAAAACTGATGTTGACATTTATTTAACTTTTCTATGTTGTTTACGTGTTTTATAATTTAGACATTGTTAACTCTAGTTAAAAATAAGATTCAGTATGTTGATTATAAATTTTATAGAGGTTATACGTAGTGTTTATTATTAACATCATATGTAATCAGGGATTTAAAGTTAATAGTATGATTTGAAGGATTTAAATTTTCTTTTACTCGATAAACGGTGCAGTACGTGATAAGTATTTGTGGGTGTTATAAACAATAAAGATGCTGATTATAACGCTAGCAGTTTCTGGTTATAACAGCCCTTTCACTTTTTACACGTATGTGGGACGTTAATTTGCCTTAGACGAATATCTACACTAGATTCCCACCCAGTGTCTATCCTACAGGACTTCAACACAACTCAGATCAAGAACACGAGATTAGCCTGACTACAACGTCAATATATTCCCACACCAAAATCCGACACAAGGAACAGTCAATCAATAAAAATCCATCAACAAGGAACAGTCAATACATAATAATGATAGGGGAATATATATAACACATAGCACCTGTCATCCTATCTAATGTCTGACTCATCAAGACAACCAATCACTGTCATTCTCGCCCACACATCAGTCGGTAAATAAGTTATATAATAGGATCCCATGATAATGACTTAAGATATAAATCAATTAAATTTCGAAGAGAGGTTGGGAACGAAATCCTATTTGATAGACTGATCGAGCGCAGTTCAGAATAACAACAATGGGAAAACACTAACCCTTACACTTAATTATAACCATTATCATGTTTGATATGACGGACAATGTATTGTAGGGTCATGTTATCGGTTGGCTTTATCTCGAATGATTAGTGTCACCAAGTCATAGGTGTTCATAAATATCAAGTTTATTGACACAAATTGAAAGGACATCATCTGACTTGTCAGTAAAATATGAATCAGTTTATAATGTAAAAATGTAACACTTGTGGTCGAAATATCTAACAAACGAATAAATATGACTGAAATTGGTTTGAAATATCAATAATTGTTAGATGTTTATTTTGTAGATCATTAAGGAATTTATGGGATAAAAGTGTGGTCATCAAGCTTACTTATTTCCAGTCATATCAACACTCGTTGAACAAGATTGTGATTCAAGTAGTCAGTCAGATAAATGGTTAGATTTTGAAGCTATATGTATTGGAGTCAACACTGAAAGAAAAGGTTGACAATTTCTAGTAGTCATCCGCATATTCTGTATTCAGTCTATTGACTATTCACAATACAAAGTATAAACTTTAAGTGATGGGAATGAATATTGTTAAAAATGCAGTAGTGTCGGATGAGGTACTTTCAATTTTATTTTCTTTGAACTCGCTTTATCAGTCTAAACACATCATCTTAATAACTGAAGATTAAATTTTAAAAATCCATTTTATCGCCAATTGTAGTGTCATTTCTGAGTTTCATATTTAGTTTATACTATGGAACCCCATTAAAAATAGCTGAATAGTTCTTTAATATTATTCGACATGTACTCGGTAGTTTTAGCTATGAAAATAATTTTTGAATGATTTAAGTCCTTGGTTGAAAAATTTGCCTAATGAAACTTCAATTATCAACCAAATAATCAAAAGCAAAACCGTAAACTTTCTAAATGGAACCAGAACTTGGGATTTATAAAATACAGTTTTAACACACGAGTATCTAAGACTGAATGAGATAACTAAATTAAACACAATATATTTGTATATATAAAGCCTTCAACATATAATTTTGCAGTACGGTGTTATCATTTATTATTTCGAATCATATCTTGTTTGAGGGTTGGAATTACTATAAATCATTTCAACCAGTAAACTACCAATCAAATAACAGTGTCTTGTCAGCTACTTATGAGGACAGAAATAAGTAGTGTGTAGGAGTTGGAAGTGGAATGCTTACCAAAAGAAGAGTGAAATAAAAAGAAGTGAAATATAAATAAAGAGCAGTCAGAATATCATCAGGATTAAAAGAATATGAAGTATGTAAAGGACAACGTAAAGATGTGCAAACGGTGTATATGATCTATGATTTCCATAATTTACAAACTGAAATAAAACTGATCGTAACAACATTCAATTATCGTACATTAATTATGCGGCCAGTAATGGAATCTAGGATACATGCTTTCTCTTATTTATTACTAGACTTCGGGATAGAGCTACGTCTCTTATGTTAATCACATTGAGACTTTAACCTAGTATATAATGTGTAGAACACCGAATCTCTAAATAACCAATAATTTGTTCGACAGGTATAATGCTATTAGTAAGGCTTTGTAATTAACCCTCTAATTAACTCCAACTTATCAATCTCTGTTACTGTATATGTAGCATAGGCGGATTGATTCAAAACCGAGTCAATATGGTATTCTGGATTCCACTGTAAACCATATAACAAATAAACTAAAAATTACTATAAAAAGCAATATCAAGACAATGCACTCAAGATATTGATTAAGCAAACGAGGTTGATCAATTGTAGAACTAAATATCAACAACAGGAAGTGAAAAGAACACTGATTGAATAAAATCTAAACTGTTAACAACAAAAAAACTTACATCAGGTCTTAAGGATATACAACATATTTTGCCTTCATTTACTAATTGTCGTACAGTTAATTTACTAGTTCCATAATAATCACGATTAAATAATCCCCATTCAATGAATTCTTTTTGTTTACGTTTTAATCGAAACTCTTCTTCTGTGATGTAAATATAAGAAAATTTTGTATCTATCTTCAAATTTGAATTTGTTGTATCTAAATAGAATGATTGAAAGAAAAATAAGAAAAGTATTACAATGTTATTAGAAGAAAGTTGACAACATGCTTGACAATCATAATTAAAGTTTACTTCTAAAAAGAGAAATCAAAAAAATATTTAATGGATTAGAACAATGAATGATTACATGTTTAAAACATGAACAAGATGAATGAGTAATTGTTGGCAATTAAACTGGTAACAAATTATTGATTATTAGTTGTCAAAAAAAAAAGAATAATTGAAGACCATTCTATACAACAAAAAATTGACTTATCCTTATTGTGCAATGAGTTATTTTACTTGTTTCTAATATAGATTCAACTCAGCGTTTAATATTATGTAAGAAAATGATACTATCGTATAGGGTTGTAAGGTTAACCACCGGAAAAATTAATATGAAAATGCACTTAGTATTACTTGTTTGAATCTTCCCATTGATGTTTAGGACTGCAACTGATCAGTCTCTAATTGGCATATGTGCATACTGTGCGTATTGCCTCGATCTTGCCTAAATTCACAAGCATTGTAAGCAAAGTGGCCGAGTGGAAAACACGAAAGGTGCTGAGTTAGAGTCTTAGAGTGAACATCAACTCTGAGGTGCAGGTACATCCAGCTGACGAGTCACAAATAGGACGAAACGCGCGTCCTGGATTCCACTGCTAGCCACTATCCATCTTTGCTTAATATGAAAATGTATTTGATAAATTTTAAACATGTTATTCATGTTTCAGTATATTCAAACTGTGCTAAACTATCCGATTTTGAGAAGCATATTTTGTTTTCTTCAGGATTCGTATACTGCATATACCTGAATCCTAATGTTGACATTCACAACCCAATTATACTAAAACTTGTTACTAGCAGGTAATATCGAGACCACTGTTCAAGATGTGTATATGTCAACAGAAACTGATCAAATTCAGTCTTGAATATCAACAAAGAGAAGTTACAAACTATCAGTAATATTCATATAACCGTTAGAAAGGAATTAAATATAATACTCGTTGCATAAGTAGGTTGTTGTCCTCGCTTAGTCGTTCGGTTGGATGTTTGAAGCGAACAGCACTGGGCTCAAGTCTCGTGTAAACATCAACAAAAGATGTGATAACATCCAGCTAACGAGTCCCAAACGGGACAAAACTTGCCGCCTAGATTTCATTGCTAGCCAAAAGTTCGTTTATTTTATAAATAAAAGGTCAATCTTATTGTTTATCACACTAAATTTTAGACAGTTAAACAGAATCGCTAAATAATATCCGTAGAGATATCTTTGGAATAGCATAGATATGTTACTTTTAATAAATGCCACGTTACATATTAACGTTTGATGTTTAACCAATAAAGTTTACTAATCTGAAAGGGTACTTTGTAAGTGACAAGAATAAAGGTTTTAGAAGCTAGTATCTCACCATAGTGTACATTCAGACATGTATAATAGTATTGATAACCTTAGTATGTGTAAACATCAGAGATATTTTATAAACATATGATGTATTATACTCTCTTCAGTTTCAAGTTTTTTCAGAAAGTATTTTAAATTTTATCATAAATAATATGTAGTCAGGTAGCTGAAGTTGTAAAAGATCAGATAAATATTTGTCGAAATAATCACCGTAGAGCAATATTTTTGTCGACAAAAATGTACATCTACGGAAAAAGACAATAAAGTGACTTACAAATAGCCGCTTGAAAAAATCGATCAGGTTCTCGTTGAATGAGGTGCTGTAAAATTTGTTGCCGTCCGACATGTGCTGGTCCAACAAACACAAGTGGCCGTCTACGAAGTGGTTGTGGGATATACTGAGCGACGGGTTCATAAGTCCATAAACTATAATGGATCATATAGCCACGAGCAACTTCTTTATCTAACCAAGCTACAGGATCATCACTCGACTGTAATTCATTATCTGGGACTGAAAGTACAGAAGAGAATTATCTCTTACCACTCAAAACTAATATAAGATGTCAGAGAAAAAGGGATAGGAGTACAGTTTTAAAGTACTAGCTTAAATAATTCAATCAGATGACGAATAATGGAATTCTTACATAAAAGTTCATTCGTAACCTAGTGTTTCCACTCTTTGGACTGATTTAATTTCAATCCGGAATGGTTTAGTGTACACCCACGTTTAGCACAACTGTAATCAGTCATTAAGATTTCTATGTTTTACTAATGGACAATATTACTACTGTTATCAACATTATCACTGTAAGTAGTGATGTTAACTGAAAACCGGAGTTGTGTTTGATTTTCTACCTTAAACTGTCACACTACTCATTAGTACAGCAAAAGAAATTTGATAAATTCTAAGAAGTAGAAACACTAAACGAAAAACAATAGTAACGAAATGATAAACACAAGAATATACAATTACAATGTACATGACGAGTGAGTGTAAATGCTTTCTTTATATTCACTTCTAACCACCTCAACAGTGTTACCAAAGTTATTGACACGACATATTAATATTCCAAATAAATAGGTTAATTTGTAGAGATGACAGTATATTATTACTGCAAATTTCAAAGAGAATCGTTTTAAGCTCTGGAATTACTGAAAATTCAGGAATTACCACACTACTACTAAGTAATAATTTGAGACTCTTCAGTATTGAATACACACACAAAACAATGCAACTGGGAACTTTAGGTCTCTCAGTGAACAGGATGCCCTGAGATCACTTTGTGGAAATCTGTGGATACACAATTTCTATCATAAAAACACAATTATTTCTCTTTAAAAGTTTCCAATTGTTTTTGATGTAAAAATCTTAAATTTTTCTAAAGTGATGAATTCACACCCTCGGATTTAAACAACTTATTAGTACTATTCACACAAGTAAATGATGTTAGAAACAGTAAATTAATCAATAAATAACCCTGTTGATTTCTTTTTGATGATGTCATTTACGCAAACTATAGTCATATTAAAAGTTAGTGGAAAATACCTATTACACAACAAACTTATACTGAAGTTTTAGGTGTCATAAGAGGATTCTATATCTATTGCAAAGTTAGAGAAAAATAATATGATAAAAACCAATGTATGAAAGATAATTGTTCATTTAAAATGTCTGAAAAAGTTATCGAGCAAGGTATAGACAAAGAATTTCATCTCCTTGATGTCCCATTAAAATGGTCAGAGGTCTTCCTACAAAGATTTATATATAAAAAACAAATTTAAAACTATCAAGATACGAATTTCCAAAGTTAGGTTCTACTGAGCAGAAAGAGAGATTTAATTCACTCTATATCTACGACGGCCAGTAAACTATGCTTCGACAACACGATAAACAATAAAATATTTCAGCTTAGTTTAAATACAAGCAAATCAAACCTCAAAGCTAGATCTTCAAATACAACACGGAGAGCATGAACCCAATCACACTTGACTGGGAAACTCTTGAAGATGTGGAAACTTTCACTTATCTGGGTAGCATCATCGATGAACGTGGAGGACCTGACGCAAACGTAAAGGCATGGATCAGCAAAGCAAGGACACTATTCGTACAGTTGAAGAACATATGGAACTCGAAACAACTGTCAACCAACATCAAAGTGAGAATCATCAATATGAACGTCAAGACAGTTCCAATGTATGGAGGTTAAAACTGGAGAACTATCACAACCATTATCAAAAACGTACGAGTATTTAGAAACAATTGTCTACGTATTATGCTGATTGTCCGTTGGCTGGATACCATCAGCAATAGCCTTCTGTGGAAAAGAACAAACCAATTTCCATATGAGGAGGAAATTAGGAAAAGACGTTGGGAGTGGATAGGATACACATTGAGGAAATCATCAAACTGCATCACATGGCAAGCCGTAACTTGGAATCCTGAAGGAGAACTGAAAAGAGGAAGGCCAAAAGACATACTGTGTCGGGAATCGGAAGCAGATATGAAAAGGATGAATAGCAACTGGAAAGGACTGCCCGGAAGAGTTGAATGAAGAATGTTGGTGGGCGGCCTATGCTCCTTCATGAGCGGCAACAGGAGTAAGGAAGGAAGAAAGTAAATCAGACCGCACCATACCATAAAATAGAAAATAGCATTTATACAAAATCAAGCTCAAATTGTCTATGAGTGCGAGTGTGGTAATAACTTAAGAATAGTAAATCGTACAGATATTTGATACTATAACTTACTGACATCTATTTTGATTTTGATTGACTTGCAAGATAAAACACCTATTTTCAAATATATCCATGTTCATTAAAACAAACTTAGAATTATTTCTTAAATAGCTTTTAATTTCCTGTATACCACAAAGTTATCCAAAATAATGTCAATTGCTAACGTAATCAGATTTAAGTTACACTAGATCCTAGAGATTGAAAGGGTATTTATGGTCATTATTGAGATGATGGAAAAGATTTGTAGCTCATGTGAGTGATTTTGATGGAGTTTTGTTCTCTGAGCTGGATGGTTTGATCGTGGAGCTTTCATCGTGAGTGAAAACATGTCGTGGCGTTTGACTGCTAATTGATGTTCATGCAGGCGAAAATGAAGAGGGCGTTCGCTTTGTCCGATGCCATGTCAATCAGCAATAAACAAGCACATTGAAATCAATCCAATTTATCAATCAATCAGGCAAATTATGCAGAAACATAGGAACAAAAATCAAACCAATGGGAGATGGAACCAAAACAAAGAAATAAACAATTACAGATTTGAGGCCAACAAGAACCAATCAACATCGAGGTGCACAGGACATGTTGTGATCCACATGTGGAGAAATTCAAACACCTCAATTCTACCCGAAGTTTGTGCTGATGATGTCGTTCAGAAGGACGATGAAAGCTCCACAACCAAACCATCCAGCTCAGAGAACAAAACTCCATCAAAGGTGATTAATAATAGGCAATTTGTAGAGTTACAAAAGAGCCTAGCTTATGTACATGGATGAGTGTCACGCAGTCTACGAAAATACATCTTTTAAGATTGTAAGAATTTCTAGTTCCACTTCCAAGAGGTTACGTGCAGTCTTAATATCAGTTAAAGTAAATAAGAAACATGAAAATTTCCCTCCACTGTCTGTAATTCCAAGATATTTGTCACACTGTAAGGTCTATATAAATACATGACTAATTAACATTCAAAAAGTTACTTAATTTGAAGTTGATTTGAGTCCTAGACTGACATCAACTGATAAACCATTTTTCGAACCAGGAGGCACTGAATAGCCATTTCATATAAGTGTTGCACTCTAAAACCGTTTATACTCACGATCATACCAGAGATGAGAACAAGAATCTTCAGATCTTGCAGTAAGCAAAATTATCATGAAGACACCTTTGTTCTAAGTGGTTTTCTAGCTAATATCAGTCGGTGATTAAAATCACCTGTTTATTAGTCTCATTTTCAACTCCAAGTTATCATTTCAGCCTCTCATTTCATTTAATTTATTTCACGTTAGAAGTACGAATTTCAGGAAGTAAACTACTCAAGACAAACTATGCACCAACGTACAAGTAATCAGTATAGTGAATACAAACAAACAGACAAAAAAAACATTCAGAAAATTATTTGCTGAATATAGTTATTAAACAATGACTACTAAAGAATATCACAAGCAATCAAAAGCTAACTCATATACACATATAAATAAATGGACACAAGTCACTACGGTAATTTGCATATATTTTTATTGATCAATGTATAATTAGTTAAAGATAGGTGCCTTTTTGGTATCACTTGAAACGCCAATCAATATATTACACACACACATACACAAACTTTAGACAGTTATTTAGTTCACTAGATTTATGTTTCATATTAAAACATAATATAGTAGATAGAAAAATAATACCGCAACAAAGACTAGCTCTGAAAAAAAATTCTTGAGAGCTATGAAAAAACATTTTACTAATTAATCAATCTGACTGTAATTGGACTGATAAAGACTTCAAGACGGTTAAAACTTAGAAGTAAACAGTTTATTTTATTGTAGCTTTTAAACTTTCTGACAGTTTATAGCAGTGTATCATATGGGATTGAAATAGTAATATACCAATGAAGTCGAATTAAGATTATGCTGTCAACATGATGACCGTGATCAATAGTTGAAGACGTTAGGTGATATGGTTTAGAACCAATTACAGGTGTAGATATATCTACTTCTTATCTTACTCTAGATCGTGAGTTTCAGTATTCCTTCATGCATACCCTTTCATTCTTTCTTCTCGAACCTTATTCTCAAACTCTAATATTTCCAATTATCATTGATATGCATTATCTCGATGCTCTTCTTATTCATTTTGTTGATCTAATCTCGTTGTGATAATGTGGTATGGCAACTTGGGCCAGCATACATTTGTGCCAGGCTCTATGTTGTTTGTGATTGGCTTACCGCCAAAAACTAATGTAATTCATTAAGTGTGAGTCATTGGATTATTTACCATAAAACTAAACGATCTTAGATTTAATCCCATGTGCAATGTATGGTGTATATTGCTCTAAAAAGACCTTAATTTAGGATATAACAACTGTTCATTGTTTACTAAATTTTTCAATAATTTATCTACTTAAATTTTTAAATGGTAATGGTGCATATAGCTACCTAACGAATAATTAATTAAAATACAATTAAATGTTTAATTTTAGATAAAATGTGGACAAAGATGAACTCACCAGGAACAAGAAATGGATAATATTCACCATGCTTTTTATCTTTTTTCCAGGATTTTAAACCTTCTAGACATGGAGACGATCTATTTGTTGAAGAGAGTTTTCGTCTATTGCGTTTACGACGTGCACGTAGAGTTCGAAGATCATAACCATGTTGACCCCATACTGGTCCAGCAGCTAATAAAGGAGATTAAGACAGAAGATATAGAAGATTTTCCGTCATCATCTACTTCCTAGTGATCACTGATCAGTCTCTACAAGTATACCATGCATACTGTTCGGTTGTACACAAATCTGTGAATTTTATAAAGACTTTGTTTCCAGTTATATTCATGATAAAATATTAAAAACAGTCAAAATGTTAATAGTTTTTAATTATTGATATATTAATAAGTAAGATTAACTTCTTTTGATCGACCCTAGCATATGACCTAGATTTTAAAGTTTCAACTAATTTTATATATCATATATCAGCTCCCTGGTACTCAAGTATACTATTTTGAAAAAACCACCTTGAAAATCGATGATGTTTTCTTATTATCAAAGCGAGTACATAGTTTCACCAAATTTCACATCTATATACTGAAAAATATCAAAGGTATGTGTAGGTACTAGACTTCAATACAGCTATATCCAGTTATCTTAAATCAAGCATTATTTACATAAAATCACTTTCCATTGTGTTTCATTTTCTGAGTTGTATATTTTAGTCAATAAAATTTGTGTTGATGATGATCATAAATCAGAGGGGGTCTTGTGGAGAATTTAGTATTTCCACAGTTGAAATCATGAGTCAATTGAAGCTAGACCACCATCGAAAACCTGGAAGCACTGGATAATTATAAAGACAATAAAAATTTCATGAGTAAATCGTTCAACACAAACAATAACAAATCACCAACAAGAGACACACTTATCAACTGGAACAAATAGTAACAAAAGACAAACCTGACCATTCATTGATTGCATTAGCTGACGAAAGATCAGTAGGTTTTGTTAAACCAGACATACGATCACCATAAGCTGAACTTAACACAGTACTATTCATAACACAACGCGAATCATCTTCTGGTGTATATACAACTCCATCCGTTAAATCACCTTCACTTGTATCCACAGATGTCAGTTCACTTTTTGAATCGGTCTGATTAGTATCTTGACCTGATGGTGAAGTAGATCTGCTACTAAAGTGTGTATTTTTAAATGTTGGAAATTTAATTCCCAGAAACTTCTTCTCTTTCGACTTATTCGTAGGCTTTTCTGTCTTAATAACAGTTGATCCAGTTGAATCGGAGTCTGTTGAATCTTCTTCGAATTCAATATCTTCAGTTCCACTAGTTAACCAATATTTTAAGCGTAATATAGCACGATTACGTTGATAAATTGGACTAGGTATGAGACCAGCTAATGTTCCTATTGCACCAGACAGACCACGTTCTTCATCACTCCTATGATAATGGATTCATAAAAAAAATACATAGAATGAGAAGGAATGAATTAGTCATCAAAAAGTATTACTAACAAGTAATATTAAACTATGAAATACTTTGTGCAACAACATAAACAAAATACGAACAAGCTGATGATCTTTTTCACTAAGAACCTAAATTAACTAAAAAATTACTGTAATAACAAAACGCTGATCTGTGCTTTCACTTGACACACTAAAAAAGAATACCTTACATATTGTGTTAGCTGTTAAGACAGTTATTCTCTTAAATTAATCTTGGGATATTCACTTTTGAAGTAGCTATTTCTTAACACATCCAAAATTACAATAATACATGAAATGTGTCTGATTCCCAACAGATGATAAAGAGTCATCAGTAAAGAATAATAGTTGTTACGATTTACCAACTTATCATAGGTTTAATATACATTCTCAAATTAATCATCCGCACACAAGTGGTTCTGTAAATATCTCTAATAAACAGAAGTATTTTTGTCCCATATAGGTGAATCATAAATCGTTGACTTATCCTTCGTTGAGATACCTGAGCGGATAACTACCACATATTTTCTTACATATACAAACATAACCAACTAAATCGTCTCAACGAGTCAAACGCGTCTACTAACATCTGGAAGTTATCAATAAGTACAAATAATTGGTCATATCAAGACATACATCTAGCAACAACAAAATTAACTCACCGATAGGCTTGCCACCAATTTGGATCTTTTCTGCCGGTAACATGTATAATGTCTCCTTTGGTAAATCCTAAACCCAATTCTTTACATGCTATATAACGGTCGTCACTTGGTTCATAAGTAAATAATGCACGTAGATGTATCTGTCAAATAAACAGCGTATACACAGAGATCAAGAAAATACACATAATCGAACGAAAATCATCAAACCTATTGACATAAACAACTCCAGGTAAATTAAAACAAATAAATTTAAAAACAAATCCTAACACTGGTAGTATATAGGTCAGTTCAGAAATTAGAAACATTAACCGAATATTATTACTTATTAGAGGAATATTTTTAATCTATACAGTTTGTATTTATACATAAATAATGAAGTGAATAAATTCGATTCCCTGAACCACTAGATTGATGATTTTGAAATCTAGAAAATTTTGTGATTTCCGTTAGAACACTTAAAATATTAAGTTGAGCGAAGGGATCTTTTCGAAAAATCGTTTTGTCATTATTTTCATTTTTCCATGGAATTAAGGCTCAATAAATATGTAAATTTGGCCGGATACCATCAGCAACAGCTTTCTGTGGAAAAGAACATACCAATTTCCATATGAGGAGGAGATTAGGTAAAGATGACGGGAGTGAATAGGATACAGATTGAGGAAATCATCAAACTGCATCACATAGCAAGCCCTAACTTGGAATCCTGAGAGAGAACTGAAAAGAGGAAGGTCAAAAAACACATAGTGTCGGGAATTGGAAGCACATATGAAAAGGATGAATAGCAACTGGAAACAACTGGAAAGGATTGCCCGGAAAAGAATTGGATGGAGAATGCTGGTGGGCGGCCTATGCTTCTCCACGAGGGGTAAAAGGCGAAAGTGAGTAAGTAATATATATAAATAAATGGACGTTTTTATTCGAATAATTGTTGTCTGTCATGATTATTGGTAGTTAATATTACAATCCATCGTTTCCTTCTGTTCTTTTTCATTAAAAAACTTCCTGTCACACATTATCTTTGTTTTTCAATTGTTGGTGTACATACAGTTACCACTAATAATTCTAATTTGACATATAGGATTTTCAATATTTACTCTTCAATTTGAAATTCTTCCTCCTGCTGATTATATAATTATGATACGTACAATCGGAAGAAAAGTTAAAGTCCACCAAAAGATTCCAAGAATGTTCCACTAACTATTACACTCAACTACTATCATAGTTTTGGTAGCTTTTTAGTAATTCCAGTTGTCATTCTATCAGTTTAAAGCGTATATAATTAAAAATTGTAGCTTGATTGTTTCATCATTCGAATCCATGATCATTACTTTTTTCCCATCCTATCACATAGCCTCTTTCAATCATCGTCTTATGCAAATAATAAATGTTGAGAATTACAAGAACAATAATTTTAACAAAGAAATGGTTCAATCATTAGACTACTTGATTTTTAACCACTATAACATACAGTCGAAGCGAGTATGACTGACTTCAACTGTATGTTATAGTGGTTAAAAATCAAGTAGTCTAATGATTGAACCATTTCTTTGTTAAAATTATTGTTCTTGTAATTCTCAACATTTATTATTTGCATAAGACGATGATTGAAAGAGGCTATGTGATAGGATGGGAAAAAAGTAATGATCATGGATTCGAATGATGAAACAATCAAGCTACAATTTTTAATTATATACGCTTCATAATGGTTTATTACCAGATATATTCAGCTCAGGTAAAATCCGACTCACACGTCCTCGTCGTGCCTCCTAGATCATGGCAACCATCCAATGTGTTACCGTGAGTGGTAATGAGGGTGGTGGAGATCGGCCTAACCAACCACTCTACCAATACCCGAGAACCATTACGAATGCTACAAAGAGGCATTGCATACCTATTGTGGGTTCAAAAGAGTGGTAAAAAATGAGCCTGTCCAAACAAAAACAAAAAAACGGTTTTGAGTGTTATGTGATGGTTTTACGTAAGCAGTTCGGAAATAGCTATCCCGCCCCGGTAGTTGTGCCGTGCTTCGATATAGCACTCTTCTCCAGAAGGGCCTACTAGGCTTCACCATTCTATATGGCCGGGAGGAGGAGGAGGAGGAGGATAACATACAGTCGAGTACGATTCCCTATCTATTTTCTTAATCTGATTATTTAAATAGAATCACTAAATCCAACATGAAATGTTTGTTTAAAAACTTTGTAATTATAATTGTAAGAACTAAGGATTCATTTGCTAGAATCATTTATTCGCTTGAATAAATATTGTCTTGACCAAGATTATCAAACTATTTACAAGTTTCTAATTATAATACTAAGAAAGAATAAAATTAGCTCATACTTACAATTCCTTTAGTCGATACTGATGAATATGGATCAAGTGCCGGTGCAACAAGAAGAACAATTCTCCCCTGTAGTGAAGCCTAAAATATAAGATTTTTTAAATATAGATTTATTACCATTTGATATAAACGAAGATTAATACGTTTGAAACAAAGCACCCGAATGCCCTGGTACGGCTGAGAGTGGGGAGAGTCCGTTCTCCCTCTCGAAACGCTCTCACATGGCTACACGTATATAGGCTCTGACAGGGAAGTACCACTCACTGTCTTCTCGTGGTATTACTGTTGTTTACGAAATTGAGAGGACGAAAAGTGAATGTTCGGCGCTTTAACCGGGTTGGTGGACACGGAAAGTCTACCTAGGGGAGTTGGAAAACCCTGATTCCAAACCAATAGTGCACAAGGTCTCCAGTATCCTGAGGGAACAAATGGCGTATGAATCAATCGTTGGTCACTGGCTACCATGGGACTGAATCTCCTCACGATGCTCCACTGTCTTGTGGATCAGATCTTTAGGTTAAAGGCTCCGGGTGTGGCCCCCTAAGAAAACCACTTGTTTCGATTTGGGCACCTGAGCAGTGACACAGCCCTCACACAAATCAAATGAGATTTGTGCGGCGCATATGTATCTGGTGCTTCCTTGTTACAATATTTATGTGTTTAAATATAATATAGTTTGAAACGAAACTTCTTAAATTCAATTAAAATGAAAAATAACCTTTTATAATCATGTTAAGATAATAAATTTCTAATACGTATTATATGTCGTTGTTTTCACGCTGAATAGTGAATGAATTAAAGGTGAACATCTATATCGGATAAGAGTGAAGTAAACTTAAATAAATGCTACTAACTAAACATTATAATGTTTCATTCGGATTATCCTATTACATGCTATTTCTGTATTATCCGATTACGAATTTTTATTGGGTCTAAATTAGTTTGTCTCTACTGGAATATGGTTAATTTAAGTATTGAAGCTTCATTCTTGAACATGGTCACAGCCTAATTATGCTAACCTTTAAACCAATAAAAAGATTCCTTATTACTAATACACAAACATGATCAAATTAAGTGAAGTGCCAATTTTTAATTAATTTCTAAGAGTTATTGCTACTCTAACATGATGGTCGGTTATGTCTGCTTATTGTAACGACCCAATCGAGCTATACTGGCAGGAATACATATTCCTTTAGGTCCTACTATACTTGGCAAGCCTGTTGAAAAAGAATGAGACTATTCGCAGAAACTTAGGGTTTGAAGGCAAAGTCGTACTATCTACTATACTGATGTATGATGGCAGTGATATCCTTATCTTAGACAACCAGCTTTTGCGGTGATGTGGCCTTCCTACACTAAGAGAAGTGGGTTAGAAAAGGTCGTGCCGAAAATCCGTACAACTCATCTTTCCCTACTAATTTACGATCCCAGCGGTAAAACCCTTAAAGTAATACATAAAGAACTACTTACGAAAAAGCCAAGTCATTGTCCATAAGGCTCTGTGGTCACGCTACCAGGTCGCCAAGATTGATACTAATCCAGTTTCCCTTTAATGATCTTCAAGAAATATCCTTCTACGGTGTGAGTAACTAAAAAATGACCCACACACACATGCAAACACCTCAAACAGTATATGGGATCACCTTGGTCACAATCCCGTCCTCTCGTTACTTCTTAAAAATATTTTTATTTCTACTGTCAACCCTTCTATCATGGTTTCATCTTAATCAGCAGAGCTATTCGTTAGAAGAATGAACTAATCCGTCCCTGAAAATGTATTTGTTCTATCTCAAAATGTTTAAATGCTCCTATTGCTCATATCTTGTTATTGTTTGATGAATGTTTAACAAAAGGATCCTATATATAGGTTAGCTTAGATATACGGATAATTCACTATAAAATTAGACGACATAATACTGATGATCATCAACTACAGTTAGTTTGTTACCATTTTACTATCCTTTATAAATGAACCAGAGTGCTGAAGAAAACTTGACAATATTTAACTGATTCATTAATTATGTAAATGTATTGTGAATAAAATTGCTTACCATAATATCACATACTGTATTCAAATCTTTCCCTAATAGTTCAATTCCATTGACAGATAACAGTTCATCACCTTCGTGGAGAAGGTCTAGTTTACAAAATATTTTAACATAATGGAAACGTGAATATATCAAAATTTTCTATTTGTTGTAAAAACGTAATGTGAATTTGGAAAGTTTAACGCAACACACCCCGCAATGAGATATTAAGAATGACAAATAAAACCTCCAAGTTCCAAAGAAATTGTAAACGTCAAAACTTCTACTGATAAGAAACGGTTTTCAACATCATTTAGCTTAATTACGCAACTACCGAGTAAATCCTGTATCTTGATTTTGAAATTTTCAGCACCTGACAAGTAATGAGGACTCTCTGGACTAGATAGAGATACAATAAAGCTCCAAAACAAAGTTGGTTGTAACCTTTTTACATCTGAGATGTCATGGAGAACATCCTTAGTAATGAAAAGTATTTTTATCAGAATACAACTAAAAGTAATATTTCATAGCTGAAATCCCGAACTGACTTACCTAGACAACCATTAAAACCCGAGAAGCATTGTACAGCTAGTTCGTTCTAGTATGGGACTTCTTTATAGTGCACATCTACGACCTAATCGAATATTGGACCCAGGACTCTTTGGTCACGCAGATAGCTCTTAACCGTTAGACCATTGGTTCAATATCCAATGTTTCGCATGTAAACGACAAGATCCAACAATCTCCAAAAACCTCCGATAGTATCAAGTGATATTTATTCAAGATTCGAGTCACCATTTTTTAAGATATAGGCGTATATAAACAAACTTCACTCTACAAGAGTGGGTTAAGGACCAAATAGTTGTGCCGATATGAAGTTATTGATCGTTGATCTAAGACATCTTCAGAGACTAGAACCCCCCTGTTCAGGTTCCACGATTTTATCAACTGGTTTCGAACTACACTATTTTTGTTTAATTGGTACTAACATAGGTAGTGAAATTTTTTTCAACGGACATTTTATTCTAGTCGGGTTCATTTTCATTGGCTATGCTGATACGAATTGCGGTTAATTGAATAAACAGACATTGGTACTAAATCCTTTGCTACGTATTACTGATTCATCACCATGATATTAACAGCCATCTTGAATTATGCAAACAATAACTCCCTAAATAAATAGGACACCATAATGTACCAAGCCAAATTCACTAGTAATATAGTAATCACACTACTCACAGTGAGTAGCAAATAAATTTATGAAGAACTATCATGTAACAAATATCCAAAACTATACCATTACTCTATGATTACTTTTTGATTCACATTAGCTACAATGTAATAAATTTTAGTTCTGATTTTCAAATTATTATGACTATAAACAAATTGATGTAACAAACAAAAAATGAAATTAGTTTGATAGTCATTTAAATACCTGGCTGGTGATATGCATAGGTAGGCGCTTGAGAATAAAGCTAACAATAAATAGTATCTTTGTATGATTACAACTAAGCATCAGTCGCTTGAGAAAAAAAGACAGCCTAGAAGTCATATTCAATTTAGATTATTTACAAAAGTTGAATGGTTGTGGTATCTTAGATGAATCCTTAACGGTTGAATTGTTTTTAAAGTTGGATGTTCTGACCTCCATCTGTGTTTAGTCAACAATAACATATTGATTACCACGTTGTGAGTACTTTAAACCAATCAAAACAACTGTTACAACGAATAGACATGAATGAACATTAGTTACTCCATCACCTTCATTTTTTTAATTTTTCGTTATTCGTTTCCTATCTGATAAGTAGCTAATGGTCACAATATCTCAACTGACTATTTTACTTATAAATAACATCAAAAATTCTGTAGCATATTCTCAGATATACTCAGTTAAATAGTTAATGGTTCTATCTCTTAAAATCTATTTACTTGAGATTTAAGGATTGATTCGGTGAGCAAAACTACCATTTCTTTCAGCTTAGTTATATCCATCTTTTTAAAAAAAAATCCATTGAAATGTCAAAGGAAAGAATTGCACATTTATTTATTTTGGTCACTTACTCGTTTTACAGGCTAATCCTCCATTAACAATCCGAGCAATTAGAACTGAATTTCTCTCCAAACGAACCGTAGCTCCCTGATAAATATTACGAAAATAAAACAGTAGATTTAATATAAAAAAATTCAACAAATAAACATTTTAGTAAATCTAATTTATTATTCATATTTTCATGAGCGAATTTACTATAATCAGACTTTTTCTGACTTACCAAGAATTCATTACCAGCTTTTTGAAGAATTACGTATTTTAATCTAACTCCGTGTTCTGAATAGGAATCACGACCTTGATCATCGTATGCAAGTGTAGCATAACAACCTGGGACAGAAGATTTTTGAATATATGAATTGGAAATAGAGTTTCTATCGATATCATCTGATAACTCTAAACTTTCAGATGCAACAAAATCATCATCAGCATCAAAAAGCCATGTATTTGCTAATCCATCCATAGCAATTAATAAGTTCTAAACAATGAAATATATTAAATGATACTTAGAAATCATATGATTATTATATTGTTTAGGGAAAATTTTAAATTTACTACACAGTAACAACGTTTTAGTATGTTGTAAACTATTTAGAAGACAACGCGCTATTGGAATTATAAGGTTATTATTCTAACTGTGATTTACCTAGAGATTTTATAAAGGTGTCCAATAAACTTCACGTGAATCGTATTACTCAAAGACAATGAAAAGTAAATTAATCGTCGTATTTACAAGAATAATCGCTAGGATAGTAACCTAACTATTTTATCACATGATCTGTACCTTCTTATGATAATATGTTATAATATGTACATCTTTAGATTTGGCAAATTATTACATTCTATTACTATTCTTGATTCAATCTCAATTCAGGTAATGGAGTGAATTAAAAGTAAACTAATACCTAATGCATACTATGATCACCATGATCCGTGAAAGTTAACTATCAAATCAATTAACGTGTATTTTTTTTCTTTATTGATATACTTGCAACTTTGATGGAATTTACATACTAGACCGTAATAGATTTAAACAATTTGAGTAACTTGATAAGCATTGACTATCAGTTGAAACGCTGATATCACTATTATATTAGTAATGTTGCATACCTGAAATAAAGGGGATGAGCATAAATTAAGTATTGCGGAGATACAATTTAAAGTAAACGCATCAAATTGACCCGGATTCTTTAATGCTGCTAATAGTTGTTCTTTAACAGCTTCCATCGTGTCATATGCTAATCCAGCTAAAACAGGCCAACGATATCTTGGTTTAGGATGCATAACACTTTTACAAGTCTCATATGCTTTCGCCACTTTGTCATGCATAAGAAATGCTTTTGATAAATTTGGATCAGATAGAACGTTTAAAAGCCACTCCCACTGTTCCGTTTCTAAATCCAAAGTAGTTTCGTTTGTTGGAAGTGTGACATCTGATGATTGGAATTTATTCTCTTTCTCTTCTCTTGGAACTGGCATCTTTGTCCGCAGATAGCACAAAAGTTCCGTGAGTTCTGAAATGTAACAAATCATAAACAAGAGATAGTTATTTTGTAAAGCAAGAAGAGCCAACATAGTATGATGAAGTCCCTTTCATTTCATATGCTCTGAACCGTTCTCATGTATACTCATTTCGTAAATAGAATGTTTTAAAAAAATAGAGTTTTGTGTGTAACATGTACAGAGTAATTCAATTTGCTGATGAGGAGTAAGTAGTTACTTTCCTAAACCTCATAAGTCCAATTTATGGAAAACAAGATAAGTGTGTGAAAGATTAACTATTTTGTAAAAAGGGTACACTGTTAGAAATATTGTAGAAAACCTAGTTATTGTAAAAAACAATCATAAAGTAATCATAATAAGGTGGGAATAATAATGACAATACTGAAATGGAGGTAACTAATTCAACAGTGATTGCAATCATAAATTGAATTCTGACTACAGTGAAGATTTAGGGACTTGTCTTACTAATAAGAAAACTTCAGATCCATCTCCTAGGCACATTTTTTAATTATAAATGCAATGAAATATTACTAAAGAAGGTGTGTTATTCCGTCTCTTTGCAATCAGAAAACATCCAATTCATATCATGATATTACTGTAGACCCCTATTTAACACTGAGTGTTGCTAAAAGATATTATTTTAATATTGGTACATAACAACACTCTAAGTTTTGAAGAAGAAATCTGTTGAACTTACAAGAAATAACACAACCAGGATATCAGCGGCAGTAGAAGCAATCCCAGACCAGGTATTTAGTATTTATCAAATTCGTAGGTTGAAACATGTCACGGCTCCACATTAACATTGTTTCTTCGGCTGAAAATGTGTTTAAATCTGTCGGTTGTCGGGAGGATTCTGTGGTAGTATCTGTCTATAAAACTAAATGCGATTCCTAATAAAAATTTCATCAAGGATTCTTCTGTACTTTTTACATAGTTTCTGAGGATCTTAAAAAGTTACTTCTACAAAGAATTTTCAATCAAACCACTTTTGTTTAACTCGGTCGCAGACCTACTACTAAAAATAATTCTTCATATAATTGAGCTTTGACAGACTGATCTTTCATATAAAGACTTATTGGTTGATACCTATTTCCCAGGACAACCTATACCTATACACGTAAGGTTGTGCGATCATACTGATCATCACTCTCAATCTAAAAAGTATTTTTCAGCCACTAAACGCTAAAGATGGGATTTATAGCAGAAACGGGTCAATATCTATCCTAATAACAAGCAATTGAATGACTGAGTAGAATGACGAGTAGTATGGAGTCTTCTGTTTGTTGCAAACAACAAGTTCTTCGTGGATTCTAAAAGTCGTTATTATGCAAATTACAAAATAATAGTGAATTCACAAGACAACTCCTCAAAAAACTCATGAAAACAACACCAAAAGACAGAACGCCAAGCAAATAAACTTTTACTGTTAGGTGAATAATATGCATGGATCATCAACAATAGTTTAAATAACTTATTTATCTAAATCTGTTTTGGTACAAAACATCAATATATATATATATACTACTTTTCTCAGTCTTTCTTCATTGTATGATTGCGTGGATGTTCTGTATATCATTGTGAGACCAAATATCCAGTACTTAAAAAACAAACAAATATTACGTAGGTTTTATCTTTTTCACTTGATAACTTTGACTCTATTTTTCCGTATCCTTAATTAGTTACCCCCTTATTCTTATTAGTGCAACGGTTAAATTAAAGCATTATGATAATTTGTTGTTTAACTCCAAAATAAAGTAAGATTACTACAAAAAGTGTTCGACATTTTATGTGATAAAACAGTTACATTGCCTATCAGCACATTTAGTGAAAAATATTCAAGACAATCGTTTTAATCAGTTATCAGTAAGCTTGAAGTAATAAGAAAGTTGACAGTTATAAATTACAAAGCTTTATTAGCTAGTTTGAGGTTGAACTAGAGTTTTAGTTATCATAGAATATAAGATTAACTGAATTCTATTATCTTGAATTGAATATGAACTACTGTAAGCTCTAAATAAGTTTCTCATTATCTACTATCGGCTCTTCGCTATTTTCAAAGTTAAGAAAGCTCACGATTTTATAGGAAAACCGTGACCATTTCACAAAGTTTAGAGATAAAAAGACATGTTAACTCTGATGCTTTTTGAAAAAAATGCATAATCGATTATATCTACTAAACAAATTTTAAACCCATCTAAACCATTCAGAATTACATCCGCGATGAAAGTGTCGTGTTCTTATATGAGTTCTTTAGTCCTAAAATTATTATGTCTCTAAGATGAAGTCCGTTTCAAGTGACCATATGATATTCAAGTTAGATGAAAGTAGCAAGGATTTAGCTGGTTTAACTGAAAAAAGAATCATGAAAGTTTCCGGGGATCTTCTGAAGAAGAAGATGATCGATAATCCCACTTACAATAACATACGACCTCGTGAGTCTCGCTTGCCCCACATGTAAGGTTTACCAAAAATACATAAACAAGGTATTCACTTAAGACGTATTCTGTCAATGGTCAATTCACTCAACCACAAAGTCGTACGATGGCTAGCGGATAAGTTAGAACCAGTCCGCCAACAATTAGCCTTGTATACATTGAGGGATTCATTTGAATTTGCTGACAGTATAAACCACATAAGTATTGGTAGTACGTTTATAGTTTTCTTTTATGTGACATCACTGATTACAAAAAAGCGCTTTTCAAAACCATGGACGTAATTTGCCAGCATTTTGACATCCTACCTCTACCGGCATCAGAAATCAAACGACTGTTAATCTTATGTACAAAAGATGTTCAGTTTCAGTTCAACAATGTGATATTACCAACAAAATGATGGTGTAACAATAGGAAGTTCGTTAGGTCCTGTCCTAGCAGATATTTTCATGGCTAATCTCGAAAGACTCGAGCTCAAAGGAACGATTGATGAAGTGGTGTATTATTCGAGATATTTTGGTGATAACTTCATCGCATGTAATAATCAACAACATGCAACAAATCCGCTAAACACTTTCAACAAAGCACATCCAAATATCTAGTTTACCATGTAATATGAAAGTGAAAACAAGTTCCATTCTCTCGATATTTCAATAAAACGAAGGAAGAAAGGCACAGTTCAACGTTCAGTTTATAAAAAAGACACATGAATGAAATTTATATCTATTTCAATAGCTTTTGTCCAATCAGTTACAAACAAAACACTTGTTAAAACATTATTTCACAGAACAAAAAGAACATGAAATGCCAATATATTAGAAGAGGAAGTTGTGAATGTCAAAAAACGCTTAAAGAATAACGGAGACCCACTGAAACTTATTCAGAAATATAGGAAAAGTGAAGATAGGAAACCCAACTTCAATTCAACGGTGAGGATGTCACATGGTCAATCAATATGAGACTAAAAACTGCATTGACAAGAGCATATCCTGCAGCTAAACTGATTGTCGTCTAAAAAGAAACATGTTTCTTAACACAATCGAGGGTTGATAAGTATCCTTTTCATGTTACCACCCACTCTATATACAAATTTACATGTATCTGCCAAAGCAGTTATATTGGTAGAACAGAAAGGAGAGCCTATGTCCGATTCAAAGAAAATATCCTAAAAAGTTTAATGTGAAATGGATTAAAAGCATTTACCAGTACTATCTCAAGTCATCTCCTTGACACAGGACATCAACTCTATACACTGAAGTGTTTTAAGATGAATAATAAACAGTCAAGCCCTAATGTTTCGAAATTTGCCGAAGAAATGAAAATAAAACCAGATCTGTGTATCCAAAAAGAAGCAGTAATAAATATGTCACAAAGTTGCCAATTATTGCAGTTTTATTGACTTTATTCACTCACAATTTCTGAAAAACTCTATTCTATAACTAACCAAAACTTTTGTTTAGAATATTATTTCATCTACATAGATCACCCCATTTACTACCTATCTTGTATGGATAAACTTCCCCGTGGTAATATGAAAACTTGATGTCAACATTATCGTTCGGTACTCATACTTAGTCAGTTTCTTACCTTTTATTATCTGTATGCACTTAATTCGGTTGAATTTATTCGTGGCCATGAATTTGCTACACAGTAATCTATAGCCTTGTCTTGTTAGGACGAATTATGCATTGCAACTCATTCACATGTGAAATAAGTTTATTAATGTTCCAAGTCTATTAAATAATTCATTCACGATGTAACTAGGCGGTGTAGCTGTAAATAATAATAAACCAGTCGAATAAATTGGATTCGTCATATTATAAATGCATTATTTAAGAAACCTTGTGCAGAATAATTGATTGAGTGATATTTATTTACTAGCATACTGTACAGGTTTTTCAGAAAGCCACGTTTGTGATCATACATCTGGTAATAGTGTTCGAATAGGTTAGGAAGAGACTTTTTACTGTTGTCTGTACTACAAAATGTATCTACCAACACTTCCACATATACTGAAAAAGTTTAAAAACACAACTCGGACCTTTGAACATATCTTATAACTTCTGGTGACCTTATTGTTTTTTTATGTCGTCCGTTATTCGGCAAATTTGTATGATGAAGCTTCGGAAAACACAACGATATGAATAGTTTAGTTGTTAATTCAGACAAACTTAGTCTTACTTACAACAAGATACCTTGAACATTAGTACACATAACAACGAAAACGTAAAACCAAACAGTAATATGTACTAATATTCCAAGTTTTCAAACACGAAAGCGATGTTATTATATGTAAACTATCAACAAACCTGAGCTGCTTTCCGCCTTTGAATCATCTTCAAATGCTTGATTTACCTCAGACCTCTTGTATTCGTCTTTTTTGATGATTCTTCTGTATTTTTCAATAACTTGCAAACGGCTAGACGCACGTAATGAGGTACGTAGGAACTCTTTTTCTCCCTCCTTTTCTTTTTCTAAATCCTGCCTTTTTCTGACTTCTTCCGCATAGAATTCCAAGTTTCTATCTTTAAACAGCAGGTAATTTGAAGAAAAAGACCTTACCCTTCTGATTTTCCATAGCGAGTATCAAACAATGGACAGTCACTAACGTCACCTTAAAGTAACGCAATAGTTCGAAATATCACCTATACGCTGTGATCAAAAATGGGACAAATAGCCCTGGACAGAATAAAAAAAACTCTCGCCTAACGGGCTTCTGCGCCTAGTTGTAGTGGATTATCAATGCACATAGGTAAACATCAAGATGAATTTTGCGATTAAAGAGAAGAAAAAAGAATTACTACGTTATAGCGAGATACTGTACTAAATCCTTAGAAGTTGTCAGGTTTTGTCTTAAAGAACTGCTGAAAAATCGTTCAAGCTAGCTCAACTGAAAGAGATTTTTAACATTTAACTACTATCAAGGAGTAGAAGGTGTACCTACATCCCCTTCAGCTGCGTTGCATGTTTAGTTCCTGGCTGTTACCCAAAAGGCTCTTGTTAGGATTCGCGGAAGTGTTTAGGGTGCTTAAAGTCATTAAAATGTCACCTTTAAAACGTCTATACTTTAACGCGTTAAGGTTGAGTAGTTCGAGGCTCTCTTCATTAGACTTGAATTTGACTCCCCTAAAGGTGTAATTTTCAGCTGTTCGACAATCTTTCCGAGCACCATACAGATTCGTTGAGATTGATAAACTCTTGAGTGTGTAATTGATGTGCTACCAAGCAAGATCGCAGGCACATGGCGACTCCGCCCTCCCTTCTTGTTGCAGCTGTAAATAATTCCCCAAAATCAATAGCTCATTAAGTGTTCGACATTGGATGCTGACCACGTTGTTTAAGTGGTCTCGTTTAACTGAAGGCTTTCGGTCATGCATCCGTACCAGATCACGTTGCAACTCGGCGTGGGACACAACTCCTACGTTTCAATAGTCAGTTAAGAACGAACGCCTCTCGATATATTGGTAATGTATCAAATATATCTTTCCTACCTCTTCTCGTCTGACTTCTATTTGGCCAAAGGGGTTTCGATTATAGAAGGTGCTACTGGTAACTAATTGTAAAGTTAGAACATCAGTCGTATCCTCAGTGGTGAGCCCGACGTGATCTGGTACACCAAGCCAATAAACTGTGAGTCTGTTCCTTGTTGGAATATTATTATTCATTGTTGTGATATACTTTTTTTGTCGCCAGTTTTTACCGCATATATTTTAATTAGACATTTTTCGTTATCTATATTACCATGAAGGGACACTCACCTAAGGTTTTTAAGTTAAAGTCTATTCCCCCTACTTCGATTCAGTTAACGCCACTTCGGCCTGACAATATCGAGTCCTGGTTCTGCTACGCAGAAGCTGATTTTGGATGCACGGAATCACTGACTCGCGCACACGATTCCTCGCGGTAGTTAAGGCGTTACCGCGCGAGTTTAACAGGTACGTAATACCTAGTATGCTTACTAGTTATGTTCCCGAACCTTACGAAACCCTCAAACGGTCGATTTTAAGACGCGGAGACCTAACTGATCGACAACGGTTAGACCAACTCCTTAACAATATCGACCTGCAACATGGATCTGCGACAGACATATTGCTAAGAATGAGAGAGGTTACCGGCCAACGAACTTTCGATGATGGCTTATTAAGACAACTTTTCTTATCTGAATTTCCTCAATAGGTGCAAGCAGTTCTCGCCTGATTTCAAAACAACGCCGTAGACGAGCTGGCTGCATCTGCCGACCGCATCTTAGAAATCCCAAAATCTACTAAGGCCGAGGTCTTTTCAGTCAGAGAAAAACCTCAAACGACCCCGAATGACATTGCCAAACTATTTCATACACTGACACGCAATCTTTGATTTCGTAATGACCGTAGTCGGTCAAAATCCCCATGTAGGAGCGTTTCACGTAAGCGATTTGTCCCTCGACCACGAGAGACAGACAACCACGACTGGTGCTGGTATCACAACCAGTACGGTAAATCCTCTAGAAATTGCAGAAAGCCCTGCAATTACCCGAAGTCTAAGGCGACTGACACAAATAAAAACCCGTTAAACTTTCAAGCCGGCACGCGTTAACGGAAACCGTAGCCGGCGAACACAGCCGTCTGTTATACGTCACGGATGTGACTACGAAAGTTCGCTACCTCGTCGACACCGGCGCAGAAGTTGGCGTTCTTCCAGCAAATTCCAACGACAGACTTCGCGAGTCTGTTTTCAGTTTACAGGCGGCAAACAGAAAGCCGATCGCTACTTACGGCAAAAGGAACGTCTACCTTAACGTGGGTTTACGCAAACCCATACACTGGATTTTCGTGGTTGCAGATGTCTCTATGCCAATCATCGGTATAGACCTGTTACAACACCACAATCTACTCATCGACACACGCTCACGAAGGTTAATAGACGGAAACACTAAGTTATCCGTTTGCGTAACTTCTTGTTCCGGTTGCATATTATCCCCAGTCACGATTAAGCACACCATAGACCCATTGTACCAATCAGTACTCGACAAATACTCCGGGATATACCAATCGCAATCGAAATTGCCTTGTGTAACCAGCAATGTTACACATCACATCTTGACTACAGGACCATCGGTATTCTCGAAAGCCCGTCGACTCGCTCCCGAAAAGCTTAGGCTGGCTAAAAACGAATTCGACCATATGACAGACTTAGGGATAATTCGACCATTAAATAGTCCATGGTCATCCCCATTTCACATGGTCCATAAAAAGGATAGCAACGATTGGCGTCCAACTGGTGATTATCGGCGTCTGAATGCTAAAACCATTCCCGATCGTTACCCATTGCCTCATATTCACGATTTGACAGCTAGCTTGAAAGGTACAACTGTCTTTTCGAAAATCGACTTAGTTAAGGCTTATAACCAAATACTGATGGCAACCGACGACATTCCTAAAATCGCCATCATCGCTCCTTTCGGCATCTACAAATTCTTACGAATGCATTTCGGACTAAGAAATTCGGCTCAAACCTTCCAAAGGTTCATAGATGACGTCTTCCGAGGTCTCAAATTCATACATGCGTTTGTTGATGACTGCTTCATAGCAAGCCCGGACAAAGAATCACATCTCCAGCATTTGGACATTGTTTTCGATCGACTCCAAATGCACGGCATTACTGTCAACATACAGAAATGCCAAATCGGAACCAAATCCTTAGACTTCTTAGGACACACCATTGATGCTCAAGGCATCCGGCCCCTTAGAAGCAAAGTGGCGGCCATTCTGGATTACCCAGAACCGACCACGATTAAGCAGTTGCGAACTTTTAACGGCCTTGTAATTTTCTACAAACGGTTCATACCTAAATGCGCGACCTTTATGGAACCGTTAACCGACCAACTTCGTGGAAATACAATATCAATTAGCTTAGACGACACTTCTCAAAAAGCATTCTCAACAGTCAAGAAACATATCGCTAAGGCAACCCTACTTGCGCATCAGGACACTCAATCGCCCATTAGTATCGCCGTAGACGCATCCGACTCAGCAATCGGAGCAGTCTTACAACAATGGGTTAACAACTCGTGGCAACCTTTAGGATTTTTCTCGAGACGGTTGCTAGACGCGGAATCTAGGTACAGCACGTTCAGTAGGGAACTCCTAGCTATGCATTGTGCTGTACTGCATTTCCAACATTCCATCGAAGGAAGAGAATTCACACTTTTTACCGATCACAAACCTCTTACCTTCTCTTTAACTTCATCTTCAGACAAGTACTCACCGCGAGAGTCTCGACAACTGGACTACATTTCGCAGTTTACTTCAGACATACAACACACTTCTGGAGCAAACAATGTAGTCGCAGACGCCTTGTCTCGAATAAGTTCCTTGGACAGTTTACAAGGAATCGACCTTATTAAACTCGCTCAGCTTCAAGAAGAAGACATTGATCTTCAGCATGAGTTATCCTCGACAACTCTTAAACTAAGTATCAAGCAGATGAGAACAGGTAAGGAAACCTTACTTTGCGACACATCTACAGGTAGGGATCGTCCAATAGTACAAAAACATTATCGACGCAACGTCTTCAATACGTTGCACAATCTTTCTCATCCAGGTGCGCGTGCAACAGTCAAATTTATAGCCGAACGGTTTTGTTGGCCTGGTATGAATAAAGATGTGAGGGAGTGGGCACGCTCCTGTGTAAGCTGTCAGAAATCTAAGGTCATAAGACACAACAAATGTCCCTTAGTCTCTTTCAAAACCCCTGACGATCGTTTCGATCACGTCCATCTAGATTTGGTAGGACCCTTACCCGACTTGAACGGATACTCATATCTCATAACATGCGTAGACCGTTTCATTCGATGGCCAGAAGCAATACTGGTTAAAGACATTACTGCTGAAACAGTGGCTCGTGCTTTCGTCGAACGATGGGTAGCAAATTTCGGCTGCCCTTCAACCATCACTACAGACCACGGACGCCAGTTCGAATCTGGACTCTTCCGTTGTCTGACCTCACTATTAGGAAGCACCCGCTTCCGAACGGCCGCCTACCACCCACAAACAAACGGGTTGGTAGAACGTTTTCATAGATAACTTAAAGCTTCATTATCAGCTACAAACGTTTCACAGTGGACAGACGCTCCTACACTCGTAATACTCTACACGACAGCCGACACACAACTTGATACTTCGTCAACGTTGACAGATAAACCTAAAACAACGCGTTCTGGAAGAAGAGTAAGATTTCCAGAACATCTTAACGACTATTGCACGTAATACACAAGCTTTATGTCGAATTCCCTTTTCATTGTTTATTAAAAAAAAATAATCTTTAATATGCTCTTTTTTTATTTATTTAAAAAAACAAAATATTTCTATTTTTGAGCGTATTAATATTTTTTTATATGAAAAATAACCAAAAAAACACATTTTTGCCGGTCGCTTTTACGCTGTTGCAAGTGTATTGGTTTATTTTTTCCGCTCATCTTGTGTCCTTACGCAAGTACGAGTGTGTTTTCGACATGCACTCACTCGTTCTATGTTTTCTCTTCTCCAGGACGACTGGAAAAGAACGACGAAGTTTCAAAGGAACCGAAATTTTCATTGTATTTTATCTCTTTATTGTTATGTTGTACATCATGTTCCTTTAGTTTAAGGAAAGATGATCAGACGCTGCTAAACGAAGCAAGCTATCAGAAGAGTGTTTACTAACGACAAACTCGTTTGGTTTAAACTTCTGT